AGGCTTCAAAGTTCGGGCGTCAAACCCAGAATTGCTGTAATTTAAGTCCTACTTTCAAAAACGCACGTAAATAAAAACTAAAAAATGCGCTTTTAAAGCATATCAAACTAAAAAGTGAAAAATAATTCTTTGTATAAACGAACAATAATAATAAAGGAACAATACCTTACCGAAATTATTTAAATCACGTTTATATATTGGAACAATGTAATATTTACAAATAGGGTAAGTTTTGTTTTGTTCAACCCCTTCATACGTGTTTGTGAAAATAGGATACTAAAAAGATGTTAAGAAACCCCAAAATGTGCATGTTTATAGATGCTTCTCTGCTCAAGGATTTGAGGGGCTTCACAGAAGGCCTGAGCGYTGTTAGAAAAATGAAATTACATAAAATTGTTTTACTGAAGTCAGATGAAATGATTTACAGCAAAAATAATCAGTAACATCCTTCGAATATACAATGATCCAAAACAAGGCAATGATTTGGGACAAAATACGTAATCAATGGACATAAGAAAACCATATTGTTACTTTAGATTTTAATTTAAAATTACAATTTTCCGTTTTGGTTTTCCAAAGTATAGTTAGGACGTTAAATGTTAAAAGCATGAAAAATTTTTGCTTTTATTATACCCTAAGCATTATTTAATGGATTAGCGTCTGGTGAATGTGATGGCTATGTGGTTAGATCCCAATACCTAACTACACTTTGGAAAATGAAAACGTTACATCTTGAACGCATTGTAGGTAAATATTTTTAAATTGTTTTGGTAATTAAATACTGTATTTAATAGTAATGTCATTCAATAAGCGCAGTCTCGAAATTCGAAATATTTCATTTCGATTGTAGAGGTTGACTTCGTAAAACGGATAAAATGTTTTTTATTGTAGTAAAGTGTTTTAAATGATGGCCTGAACTTAAGAGTTTTATATATTACTAAAACAAATAGCTGTATTGATTCAGCAATGGAACCGTTTATAAACAATATTTGCTCCATATATTAGGACATCTGGAATTAAAGTTTCTGAATCTGTGTAGAGGTCATTTAAGAATTATACATCTGCCTACACTCTATTGTCGAAGCAGTATGCATATGGCAAAATGTTTTTAGCAAAACTTAGGGATAAATTAAAAGTTCACATACCTCTGCACCATATAGCAGGACGGGAATAATGATTGACTTAGAGAGTTTGTTTTTGTTCGTCGAGAGAGGACTTTACTTCTCAATTGTCTACTCAGTCCAAAGTAGCATCTGTTGGCAAAAGTTATTCTGCTTTGGATTTCGATTCTGACATTGTCGTTGCTGTTAATACTGGTACCAAGATGGACGGATTATCTATTATGAACTTTGAAGTTGTGACTATCAACAATGACCTCGGAGTCTAGTCGTAAGTGCAACGGCTGTTTGTTTTTAACAGAAGATATTTCGTCTTGCCCTCGTTCATTGTTAGATCCATTTGCTTTGCGTCCTTATGTTGAGGTCAATTATGTCAATATCTCGGCATATGCCAGCAACTGTACACTCTTATAGAAGATGGAAAATGCTCAATTAAGTTCTGCAGATCGAACTATTTTCTTCAGCAGCAAATTGAAGAACTCCTACGATGGAGTGTCGCCTTATCTGAAACCTCGTTTAGTATCGAACGGCTTAGAGAGGTCCCGATCCTGACGAAGCTTTTAGTATTGCGCAACGTCAGTTTACACAGACGTATTAGTTTTGCGGGGATGTCAAATTCAGACATGGCGGCTCGAATTCAGCAAAAAGGTGGTGTGTAGGGTAAGAATAGTTCTAATTTTTACTTAACTTTACTTACTTACTTTTATTATCTTATACACAATTTTTGCGAGAATCAATATAGAATCAACTAAAATTGGTAGAACTGCAAAAACTTCATTTTATTAGTATGAATCTAAATGAAAAATTATTAAATTTAGAAAAAGTCCAACATAGTTTAGACAAAAAATGGTCAGAGTTTCAACGAAACCATTTAGAATTGTCCAAAGATCCCAAACATAAAACTATTTTAAAAATGATGTTGATTGACATCGTACGCCAAATTAAGCGAATTAATAATRATAATTAAAGGAAATAGTGCTCCCACGAAAATAGAATGCTTTTCAAAATCTGGTTTAGTTCGCAATGCCAATTTTACGTTGTCTCAAGTTGATATTTCTATTTTTTCATGACAATACTCAAACTTTCCCCAAGCTTTTAGAGAATTGTTTGAGCAACTCGTAGTCTCTCAAAATATTTTAGACACGTATAAAATATGTATTTCAAAAACTAAATTAAGAGGATCGGCTGCAAGTTTTATTGCAAATCTGCCTTCAACCTCGACGAAATTTTCAGTTGCCTGGAACCTTCTTAATGAAAAATTTATTTATTATTAATGCGGGCATATTCTTTGATTTGTTAAAAGAAGAAAAAATAACTACTTAAAATGTAAATTACAAACTCCAGAATAGTGTTTAGGAGGTTGATATGCGTATCACGTATCATACATAAGTTCCAAATTGGCGCACTGTGGTGTTGTAACATATTTAGTTAAAAATAATCAACGAAAAAAGTTTTGGGAAATCCAATCCAGTGTTAAGGGGGCGTTCTAGTCTAGAAATCAAATTTTGGGCAGTTTTTTGAATTTATTAAAAAAAAAACCCAAAAATATTTTTACTATCCATTTTTTTATGGTGCTTTCATTGATATCTTAATAATACAGAAAAAATATTTTACAAAACAATATTAAAAAGTAAAATAATTAGAGGGGGCGGRAGAGACAGGTGTAAAAAAAATGGCGCATCCTGGTGACATTTGTCCTGACTCTCCTGGTGGTCTGAAAAAAAAATCAAAAGAAATTCTTTATCAGTAAGGATGCTGTTATAGTCCCTACCTCAGGGAACACGAAATTTTTTTTTTTTGAAAAATTTGCTACTGCCTGAAAATAAAAGTAATTTTTTACGCTTTTTTTGAAATTCCTGAATTTTTTTTATATATTAAAAACAAACACGATGCTGGTAGGAACGATAAAGTTCACAAACAATTTCAAGTAAGTCGGTTGTATAGAACTTGAGATAATGCCGGTACCGTGTGGAAAAAAGTAGTTTCGAGAAACACGCGTTTAAAAAAGTGAGTCAAATTTCAGGCAGTCTAAGTCATTTATTAGTGCACTAGGTACTGCGTCACTAAAGTAATGTAGCTCTTACAATAATTTTCATTTTTAAAAAATCAAATTTTTCAAAATTCTAGAGAAGATAAAGATAAAATAGAAACACAGTACGAGAAACTCTTTCGTAATAATTTAAAATTTTCCGCAGATAGTAAATTTACTAGAATCTTTTCGTTCAAAAAGGAAAATATAAACTTAGGAGATTCTTCACAAGTAAAAGGAAGATTAATCTCTCTAGATAGAAAACTTAAAAATAATGAACCACAAAAAAGAAATAAATAGCAAGTTCTATTCGAAAAGATTAAAACTGGTATGTTGATATTTTTAAAGAACAAAATATTCCACCATTGCAGTGGAAGAGAGGACGAATAAAAAACGTAATTTTAAGCCAAATGTAATAAATGTAGACGTAAGGATAAGCAATGGCACATCGTAAAGAAGAGTGAACAACTTTTACCCTTTTCCTACCGTAGAAAAAATATGTAAATTAAGCTTACTTATAGTTTTACCATCCTTAAAATATTTAAATATAAGTAAGTTAAAAAAAGATCTGGAGTATTTTTTGCAAAAAGAWGGTCTGTTGGGTTGACTTGGACAGCGTGGGGTAGAATTATCCACATCCATATGTTTCAAGAAAGGCAACTAATTTCACATTCACTAAAACATTTGAAATACTCAACGATATTTGTAGAGAATCAAGAGAACACAATGATTCAGCAGCCGCACAACAAATACTTAGATATTGAATAGCCCTACGACATTATCGCGTTATGGTGTATTGAACAGACCTTACTGTTCTCAGATGGTCAGCTCTTGAACTTGATTCGCGATTATTGTGGTGAATTGACAAACATAGTAGCATGAAAAGTTAATAAGATATTATAATATTATATCAGTATGGTTGTCGCGGGTCGCTAATTGATGGTATTTGCCACTTGCTGGCAAAGTGTGCTATATTGCTGGTTATGGTGATATGGGCAAAGGTTCTGCACAACTCTGCGTAGATTCCATCATTGCTTTGCAAGCGGTTATTGAAGGCTATGAAGTAACCAACATGGAGCATACAAAGAAGCTACCATCTTTGTAATAACTGGTTGCAAGGACATTGTTAAAGCCGCAGATTGAGAACACATGCTTGATGGTGCGATCGTTTGTAATATTGGTAATTTCGATTATGAAATCGACGTCGACTGGTTGAATGCCAATGCCAAGGAGAAGATTAATGTCAAACCCCAAGATCGTTATACACTATTCAATGGTAATCATATTATTTTGTTGGCCGAAGGAAGTCTGATAAATTTGCGCTGCGCGAACGGTCATCTGAGCTTGTGATGTTCAAATCGTTCCAAAATTAAGTGCTGGCACAAATAGAATTGTAGACCAAGGCTGACAAATACAATGAGACGTGCCTCTGTTGCCGAAAACACTATGATATATCTTACGAAATTAATTATTAAAATTGGTAAATTAGAATAATTTCAAAATGTTAAAATGTAGTACAATAGAAAATTGCGTATATAAGAAAAATTATTAAAAGTTCGACCCGCCAATCTTGTGCAGAAAACCTTCGCGCGGTGGCCACGGCGAATTTCGCATTCAATGGAACGAAGACCTGTATGAGATATACGACGCCATTGACACAGTTCAGCGAATTAAGGGGCAGCGGCAGCGCTGTCTAGGTCATGTTGTATGTATTCTTATTTATTTATATTCTAATGTTATACTAACTCTATGCTTTTGAATTTTTTTTTTGTAAAAACAAATTTTTTTGGCTTTTCAATTCATAATAATCATTAAAATTTGAAGATTGTAGAATTATATACAAATATTTTTACCTTAGTTACGCCTGCAGAATCACTTCGAAAGTTAAAGTCACCGAATAGAAAATAAGGTACAATCTCATTGTCCTTGTCCATATCGAATCTAAAACAATTTTGAGAAAGTAAGTTTTAATTAAATGGGTTTAACTATTGATAGTAACCTTTGCAATGTGTGAATCAATGCCTTTCGCCTTCGTTGTGAATAAACTGAAGGAAATTCAATAAGTGCAGTTAAATTTGATGCATCATGAAATAAATGCATATTTACAAAATCTAAAGTGGTGCCATTAATATCCCAACGTGTTCTCATAAATCCTTTCCTTGACCATTTGCACTAGAAAACAGTAATGTGTATAAGTATTATATTTTTAGTATTTATTTCCGTACAAATTACCTCAGGAAAAAAATCAAGCGGAAATTTTGACTTATCTTTCGTTGGTACATTTTCTATATTTCCAAAATGAAAATTTTTTCCTTGTGTAGTTTCCCACGAGCAATTTTTGAAATTCCAAAGACGACTGTTAGGTATAGTATTATGGCCGAAATACAAGTTTCCCAAAGCCTTAAAAAATGTTAATTATTTGCACATTTCAACAATTAAATTATAACGTAACACAAATGATAATGTAACGTATTTACCGTAAACTGCTCCTGTGAAGTAAAGTTTTCATCCAGATATACGCGCACAATGGAGAATTCTTGCATTTCATAAGCTTCACACAGAGATTTCACAAACTCTTTCACATGATGAGAAGATTGCTCGTAGGTTTTTCCGCCAACTTCTTGCAAGTGAAGAGCTATAAATTGTGGGTGTAGCTGTTTTACTGTTAACATAAACTCATGAATCCATTGTTGCATCAATATTAAAGGCTGCAAGAATTGACAAATTTATTAAAAGCAATAGCTTCTTTAATAATCGAATCTTGAAGGATGTTGTACAATCATTATAAGTCTTTAAATTAGTTATGTGCACTTTTATCACATCAATTTTTTTTTTTTACCTTTTTCTAGTTTTGATTTTATATTCAAAGGAAGCTGAGAAATATTGAAGCTTTGATGGCAGACTGCATTAAAATATAATTTTTTATAGTAATATGGTACAAAATATATAATAGAACGAGTTCCCTGAGTAAAGCTTTATAAACATTATAATAGAAATTTATTTAAAGAGTTACATTTTTACTACTATACTACAGTTTATATTGTATTCCTCTTGTGGATATACGAGGTTCAACCGAGAAATTGGTCTACAACTTGGTTTCCGCCGTTTTTTTTTTTTTTTTTTTGTAAATTTAAGGCTTTATTGTATAAAAACGGTCCAAAAGTGTATTCCCTTATTCCCTCAAAAAGCAATGCTTAATTAACACACGAAATGCTTTATGATCCATCTTTTTGTAAACTAACACGAGTTGCTTTACACAAATTCTATATTTTTTTCAGAAAACTGTCGAGAATTCGGTTCAAAATATGACATTTTTAGTTGAGAACAAGTTTGGGATGCAAACAGATCTCTACAAATATTTTGTTGGGTTAATGTTGACACAAATGTCCAAGATCAATATAAAACGATTTAATCTACCAGTGCTTGACCCTAGAGACATCTATTGGAAAACAGCGGAAGCAAAGTTGTAGACCTGAAGGAAATATGTATGATATTTTTCTTACAGATTTGAGCGAATTGGAATGTTAAGAAAATATGTGTATATACAAACAGCCCCATTTTCACAAATATGTAATAGTTTTATATTTTTGATCTTTTAAGTTTACTACTTCATACGGAGCTAAATCAGGCGAATACTGTGGCGGCACGACATCGATATTGAAAATTCGGTGAAAAAATCACAAAAAAAGTCGATGCAGTATGCGGCGGCCCATTATCGTCGGCCCAAAATTCGGCCGAATATCTTCTTTTTACGAATATCTTCGCGAAAACGACGGATAACACTCAGATAGTAATTCTCGATAATGGTTTCGTCTGTCGGAAGAAGTTCGGTATACACCGCACCTCGAAGAAAATCGTCAACATAACCTTGAAATTTGACCTGCTTTTTCAAAATCACTTATTCTTCCGATATTCCGATTAATGTTGATGGCCGTCCTGAACGTTGTTTATCGGCAACGCGTCTCTAGCCTAGAAAAAAATTTTTCGACGAGTGTTTTTTCGCGCGAAACTTAAATTAAAAAGTTTTACTATTTTTTGACCACAGTAATATTCGATATAAAGTCAATCTTTATATGTCATTAGGTTTCTGGGCCTACGAGAATAAATTACCCGATAAGCAGGCATACTATTATCACGAAAGATTTTTTTCCAAATTTCATTGACTGATATTTTTAGTAAAAAATATATAGGAACTAGGATCCACATTTTCAGTATCTAGGGGATTGAACAGTTATAGCCTTTAAAGGCACTATTTGTAACAAGTTTTATCCCGATTTATTCATTAGTTAAAATTGGTTGAGTATGTTCCGAAATATGGGTTTTCACCTAAAAGAAGGCAATACCACCCCATCGTCCAATTTCTACATTGACTTCTATTAAGTTCTACTGTACCATCCCGGATGAAAAATGTCTCTGACGCCCTTAGTTATTGATTTATGTCGCTTTTCGTGGATACAATATGGTTTCTTTTATTTTCAAACTGCCGTGGCATGCCGTAACGAGTATCAAAAGTTATGTAGCTTGAATAGTTTGGGAGACATATGCATTGCACCTATTAGGAGGCAACCCAAGTTCACTTTTTAAAGATTTTCAAACCACAAATATATGTATGTCATTAGTGCAATCCGTTGTAACAAATATAGTTATATACATAGTGGCGCACGAATAGTGATACAAAAATAAGCCAACATACTCTTTTTACGAATGAATTACATTTATTTCTTTGGTCTGTATAACGAATTTATATAATTAATTATTTTTAAATCTTTTAGATTGTAAATGACCTCCATGGTGAGCCGCATATTCGTCCTGAAGGGTTGAAGTCGAGATTACCTCAATTACCCATTTAGTGGACTGCTTCAATTTAGACAGATATCTGTGTTTTGTTTTTGGTGAAAGTCTTCAAAAGACTTTTTATTTGAACTGTGCACTGAAATAGGCTTAAGTCATCACGAATTATCCGTTGTAATGACCGTCTGCTAACACCAAGTTGCGCCGATAAGTTTCGACTCGAAACTTTTGGATTGAATCCAGAATTAACGATGCAACAGTAGTGGTTGTTTCTTGAACACCAACATTCGGATGTCAATGGTACGGCCTTCTGGCGTTATTTCCCAATTCGGCAAGCATATAATATTTACCAACCTCATATTGGTCCATCTACTCGGAGTTTCCGCGAAAATTTCGTCTGAATTCCATTTGCACTATTCAAACCCTTTTTGGTATAC